AAGCAAAATAGTGCCTGACTGGTTCTTTGCACACTTGCAGTCAGCAGTCATTAGTGCAGCCTTGGAAAGGAGGGGAAAAAGAGTGTTTTAATGCTAACATTTTCTTAAAATGTGGCACAAATCCAGCATCAACAAACAATGTGGGGTGGAACTGTGATAGTATCACATGCCTCAAATGTCTTAGTTATGTGACAGCTTAACTAAAGCCAGGAAGTTTTCCTTAGAATCGACTTTGTCTACCTTGGAAAAGAAAAACCAAAAAACTTGATGCATCAAAAAGTTCAGCTGGAAGATTTTCCTTATTGCTGATCACTTTTAATTAGCTGATGTGTTTCCCCCTGGAGTGGGTTGAGCACAGCACACAGACTGTACACGTTGTTCCTTGGCTGCAGTGATGCACATGGCAAATTCTCTAATATATAATTTATCCTGCACATGCTTGAGACTTGATGATGTTTGGGCAGTTCACATGGAGCCCGTGTAGCATGGCTGCTTCTGCACTGCTCTCCAGGCTCAGGGTGACAGTGTCCAACAGACAGCTGGTACAGGATTATTTTCGGCTGTGCTCAGACACCAGAGATGCCCTTTGGGTGTTCAGTACATTCAGTTTCCTTCCATCCACTCAATTTGTTTTTCTGTTTGGTAGAGGGATCTATCTGAAGTGACACCATGCTCTGGGAAAACATGGTATTGGGAGCTAATTGATTGCATTATAATTCTGAGCAGAGAAACTTTTTATTTTTGTGGGGGAAAGAGCTGTTATTTTATCCCTATCTCAGGGGGAAAGGTCATAAGCAGCAGCTGTAATACTGTTGCATTCCAGAATGAAATGCTGCTTGATAATATTTTTATAAGCCTGCGCTGATTCCAGCATTAGCCTTTTGGAGAAAGATAGATGGGGAAAACACAAATATCCCTGGTCAGACACAAATCTAGCGCTCACAAATCCTGGGTTGGGGCAATGAAAGGAGACGGGGGTACAAGAGGTGAGGATGAAGGTCAAGGAAGCAGCCACTTTTCAGGGCTTTGCTGTGCCCAACTTAACCCCCCCCCTAGAAACCAGGCTGGGGGACAGCATGAATCAGCAGTGAATTCCTGGCACTGGGCTCAGCCAGGTTCAGGGTGGCTCACAGGGGACCCTAGGCACTCCTGCTGGACCCTGTTTTGGGGAACACTGCATCTGAGTTGGCTGACATTGGCTCAGCCAGCTCCATTATGGCTCCAGGCATCTGAAAACATTCTCTGTGCTGTCCTGGACAGCCCAGCTGCTGCCTGCCCAGCACTCAGCTGGTTTTGCACCTCCTCAGTAAATAAATTGTGATCTGTAGCATATGACCACAGTGCAGCTGCTTGTGCAGCAGTATTGTCAGACCAGTAACACACAGCCCTCTGACACAGCCTGTGATACTGAAACCCCTCCCAGATACCAAGACACCAAAACCAACAGTTTGCACCAGTTTTCTGCTGAAATCCTGCAAGAGTAGATATATGCTAGCTCAAAGGAGTACCAAACTAAACTCTCAGTGGGTCAGCAGCTAAGTGGAATAGAGGCCTGAGCCCAAAACATGCAATGTTTTAAACCAGACACTGCGGGAAAACAGAACAAAGTGGTGAAACAACACTTTTATCCCGGACCAGGACTGCCATGCTTGGTAAAACCTGCAAGAAAAGGGGATTAAAAACCACAAGACAGTAAAAAATTCCAGTGATGAGTGAGTGTTTACCAAAGGCTACATGCCACATGGGTACATGAGGTGTCCCTTGCTCATCTGGGATGAGACAAATTAATTGACACCTGAACAGAAATGAAAGCAAATGAAATCCCTTTGAAAGGGATAAGCATTCCGTTTTTTTTTTTTTTTAATATATATAACACTTTAGGTTTTTCTGTCACAGCAAAATAATCTCTCTTGTTTGTCTGGGGCTATTTTTAACACTGCTAATGAGTGACTAAAGTGGGGTGGAGTAGCTAAGCCAGCTTGCTGCTCCCAGCCACCCACAAGGTTTTTCTGACAATCAGAGGAGGACCTGGACCAGAGCCAGCTCATGTGAGGAGTCAGAGCAAAGTGCCTGCAAAGTGTCTGTGTCCTGGGACACACATGGTGGAAAAAATGCACCATGGTGGAAAAAATGCAGCTGAGTAAAAAAAGGCCTAGACTCCACACAGGGCAGGTATGTCCAGTGCTTGACATCAATCTCTGAGACTAATGCATGTCAGAGATGCATTAATCTCTGACCAGAGCTCATAAAGCATGTAGTTGGCATCTCATTTGTCCATCAGAAAAAGACAGGAGAAAAGCCATCTGTGCAAACAAGTTATTCCTGGACTAGAGGACATCCAATTAAAGGCAAGTAGTGATTTCTCACAGGGTCAGTAAATTAATAGAAAATCATAAAATCATTATGGTTGGAAAGACCTCCCAGATCATCAAATCCAACCAATAACCCAGCATCCCTGTGTTCACCATTAAACCACAGCCCCGAGAGCCCCATCCACACAGCTCTTGACCACTTACAGGGATGTAACACCTGGCCCCTGTCTGTCCTTCGGAATGGTCTTGGCAGAGGTCCATTGGCAGTCAGGGGATTAGAAGCTCTTGAAAGGGGAACATCCAGCATCCCTTCTCCCATCACCTCCAGGACTGCTGCATTCAGAGGAGGGACTGAAAATAACTGGAAAGTACCAGACGGCAGCTGGTGGATGCAGCATCCCAGTTGCCAAGTCCTTGCCAGCAAGGAGAGTACACACTGAATGGGAGTGAAGACAGTCACTGGAGCACGACAGCAGCAGGGCAGCACAGGAACACAGCAACATCCTGGGCCTGAATGCAAAAAACACTCCACTCCAGATAAACAATATTCTAGAGAAGCCTATATGTGTATCTATATTGTTTTAATCTATACATGTTTAAAGAAAAGCCTACCTGATGTAGAAAACTGCTGTGAAATGTTCAAAACTCTCTTACGCTAAATCATTAAAGGCAAATTGCAGTGATGGGTTAATTATGTTTATTGCAGAAGAGCAGTGAGATGCCATAAACCCAGGCACACTCTGGTGCATGATGCTGTGGTGGTATAAGTCAAAATGCCAGAGTAGCAGAGCCTCTGTGCCACAGCCCTCTATTCCATCCTCATTCCTCTAAAAGCCAGGGAAGAGAGGAAGCACCTGTGTGCCTGGTGTGGAGCCTGCACTGGCAAGGGGTCCAGACACCTTTGAGTTACTTGGACACTTGTTCCCTTTCCCCAGGTGTGCCAGGCAGCTGGACAACGGGACACAAACCTTGCAGCAATGGCTCACAGCATGACCCCGTCAAGGCAGAGCCACTGATGCCTCATATTCTTGCAATAAGGGACACCCATTTAAAAACAAATGCTTTTTTCCTCCCACACCGTCCAACCTCACTTTTCTGATTCACCAGAACCAAGGGCTTTATAAGCCATCTTGAATATTCCCAGCCTCCCAAGGGAAGCACTACATTTAAGAGCATTTTAATAGACTGTCCTTTCAGAGAAATTATATAAGCATTTTCCTTTGGAAGGGATGGAAGAGGGAGGGGAAAAAAAAATCAATATTTTTAAGTAACAGCATTATAATTCACTAGAATTATAGCACATGCCAGTAAGACAGATGTACACAATACAGGTTGGAAATCTGTGCTTTGGCTCATAGAGGAAGTCAAATTATATTACCATGTAGCCTTAAAAATCAGGTAATTAAGTGACTTGGGGTAACAAAACTACTTGGATAAATATTTGTAAACTTAAAAGAGAAGAAAGGGATTTTTTTTGTAGAAATATTAAAAAGGAGTGGTTTTTTTTTTTTCAGTGCTTATCTATAGCGAGACAGGATATTTTTGTGTCTTTTATTAGTTTGGTTGAAACAATTCCCCTTGTGATCTCAGATTGATGTAACTGCTAGAGCAAACTTGTAAAATTAAAAAAAGAATCCCTTTAAAAAAATCTCAGTTTGTAAATAAGTCCCATAAATACCTGACGTGGCTAAACTTGTATTATTTGTAAAATTACACAAGGTGTTATAACTGGAGCTGTGGCAGCAGAGATATCTGATGTAACAGTCATAAACATTTATACCAGCTCAGAATTTGTTCTATAAAAATCACAAGCTCTGCCATCTCAAAGGTCAAATTGCCTTCAGCAACTACATAGAGCTGTCAGAAAAACCTAATCATGCTCTATTATATTAATGTATAACCAATGGACAAGGAAAAGATAAACCCACAGAGCTTATTTACAAAAAGAATCTCTTACACCTCCAGAGAGGCTGGGAAAATATAACACTCCTACCTGCAGATTTTTGCTGAATGGTGTTTTAATTGCACCTAATGAGAATCAAGATTTCCTCTCAAAGCTACTATGAATTCATTGCTTTCCAGAAGATGATGATACATTAGTGAGAGGACAAAATAGAGCCTTCAGGCATAAGTATATTACAGACCTTCTAAAAAGTATCCCTAGGAATTGCACGTATGGTGATAAATTGCAGCACTTTCGAAACACAAATAATGTGCTTTGCTGGCCTGTGGTTGAAGTCTCTTGCCAGTGGCCTAAGACTGTTTTAAACAATATGGAGATATCAAATCAAGCTAAGAAGTTGCAGCATTGAATTTATGCTAACTGCATCCCTGCACCTATGGGTTATCAGCTGCATTGATAAGAATTGTACTTCTTATCAGGAGATGGTAAATTAATAAACACAGAAAGATTAAAAAGGGCAGGACTCCTTTCAAGAGGGCTACATGAAAAGCCTTAGACAATCTACAGCCACAACAAACATACTGCCCAGGTTAATACCACAAACATTAGAAATTATTTACTGTATAGAAAAGGATTGTTTTGTCATTCCCCAAACAGTATTTTTCCAGCTGAGAGAAAAAACACAAGGATAGCTGCAGTTCATTACTTCTTGATTCACAGTTGCAAATAATAAAAGTTCACAGAAATAACTCTCCCTTTCTGAAAAAAGTAGAAACATTCAGTTGCTAGAAGTACACATCTCGTCTTCTGTCCTGAATCTGAATACCTGAAAGACACAGCAGCATCAGGACAGTCAAGCAGCACAGTCCTTGCAATCTCTTAAGATGTTGTGCAAACAAAATTGCACCTTTGGGTTTGGTGCAAAAGAACCCTTACAAGAATAACAGAATGACCTGTTCAAAGTATCCCCAAAACATTGCACATCAAAGAACCAACAACGGGGTATGACCAGCACCAAGACACTAATAAAACTAAGGAAGCCTGAATGCTTTGGGAATAATTTCTTAGAACAACTCACCCAGCAGTATGGTGGGTTTGTTGGTGCAAACTGCAGCAGTGCTACCACATGTGAGTTGTTCTATCTTTCTGGCAGCCTGAAGGTATAAGCAAAAAAAACTAAGGTGGATGGGGTAAAAAAATCCCCATGTATCTCATTTTAATATAATGTAGTGGTTTTTTTCCTCTTTGTTAATGTAGTTATGGGAGGTGGTGGTTCTATCTGGGGGAAAAATGAGCTTTTGAAATACAAAAGCAAAGGAATATCTTTAATACTACATGCATAAGCAAGACTGCTGTCTGATTTGTTCTGAACCTGCTGGTTTCTTTACTCACCTGCAGTGGCATGGCTTACACTGGGATTTTCTGAGCCTTGGTAAGAGCTTGCTTTCCTCTCTTAAAAAAAAAAAAAATACTGGGGATGAGCAGAGTTTTAGCACAGAGCTAAAAGTAGACAGTAGTTACTAAAGAAACCTTGTGCTTTTGCAGCCCAGCCTATAGCACAGGTGCTGAGGAGCTCTGTGCTGTCTGGCACAGCAACATACACTTCCATAAATGTAAATATCAGCTGTTCTTAAACATGACAGAGAACAAGAAGTGTATTTAACACATAGAGCCAGCAAACAAGTACTCCTACAGTTGAACTAAATGTACACATCCTAGGGATTTGCCAAAGACTCCCTATGAACATGGATCAGCCATTTCTTATTTATTTATGTTGTGTTGTTTGATAATCACAAGGATGGTGTTACATGTGTGGTGCTTAGAGACTCTTGAATATTCAGAATGGCCTTGTACACATCCTGAAAGCAACAGCTTTAATTGGTAATGGCTGGAGAACACTGAACTGTTTAATTTCCTTTTCAATTTTTTCCTCACTCATTTTCTTTCTGAATTTTTGGGAAAAAAAGTCCACTGTTGCTAGCAGTGCTTCCCTCTTATCAACACAAGATTAATTTAATGAAATAGTTCTTTTTCTGAAGGAGTCAGCTCCTGGGGCTCCCAAGCCTTGATAGGCTTGCAATGCCCCCTTGGGGGAAGAGGGCACCTTACCTTGTTGTTAAATGAGATCCCAGTTCAGACAAGTGTCTTTAAAGAAATTAAACTCTCATTCACTACCTACATTCACTAGGGTGAGTGCCTATGCAACACATACAGAAAATCTCTGCTCATATACCCTGAGCAGAAAGTTTGCATTCCAACTGAAGATACAGACACTCTCCCTTTAACATGAACAGACAGGCATTAGACATTCTAGCAGTAATGAGTTAGCAAAACATGTACAGTCACAAAACACTCATAGCAATATAGATCTGTTGTATCCTCAAAAGAAGAACTGTAGATAAACTCCTGCTTGTATCTGCAGGCAGTCTTTAGCCCACATTCTGCCAAATTCCTGCAGATGCAGTTTCGAAACTTGGTAACCAGAAGGTATTTCACAGCTGCTTATTTTTCAAAACCTAAGCCTCAGGATTGCTTGCTCACATGGCAAATGTTTTTTGTTCAGAAGCACCGGGAAGGACGCACTGTATTTTTCCAGCAGACTCCCTAAACAATTTCACAACTCTTTTGCTTGCAGACAAGTGTCAAGCTGCCTTACTGGGGAATGCCCAGGAACAGCAATGCAGACGTACCCCAACAGGCATCAACGCTTTGGCCAGGAAGCCTGACCCCAGAGACCTTCTCAAAGGCAGAATTACGTATAAGAGAACAATTTTATCCAGCAGACCTAGATGCTGTGGGGACATAAATGAACTTCAGGCATCTTTCTGCTGTGCACTGGTAGTACCTAGGATTGGGATTCCTAGTAATTGTGGATAAAAAGCAACAATCATCACTGTGTGAATGGCATTAGCTCTGGGAAATCTGCAGGGAGCAGACATAGCCTTTGGCAGGCAGGGCAGCAGCACCTCATGGCAGGGAGCTCTTAGCCAGGAGACAAGGCAAAGCTGGTCCACCAGCCCCTGTACCCTTCACCATTCCAGCTACAGACAGAGACTGAGAGGGAGAGAAACCCCTGGCCATGCTGGTAAGAGCTGCGGTCTCCCATCCTGTACTCAGAACATAATTAACAGCCCGCACAGTAAGAGAGGCTGCTCAGGGATCCTTCCTGGCCACCATGAGGGAGTATCTGGTATACACCACACCTAATACCTATAAGTATTAGAGATTAAGATAGAGCTATGAATAATGCTTATAGTCACTTAAAATGTCTCCCCAACGTAAGCCAGAAGGTGAAATATTGTGTGAGTAGGCACAATTTTTTGCACATTTTTTGATTAACCCATACTATATGGCTAATTGATTCCAAGTACCACAGTATACACCAGGGTTATTTACTGTAAAATATTTCTGTGAGTTTGCCAGAAGTTGGATCCGGCTTGAAAAGCTTAGGAACAGACGGCATTATTCTGTCACTTTACATCAGATGTCATCAAAGAATAAAGTGATAGTATTTTCTTACCTCCCCCAGGAGCTGAACTTTGACTCATATTTTGTAACCTCGCAGGTCCAGTCATACAAGCAGAACTTGAGTGTTGCTTCATGGTACATTCTTGCATAGATGTTAAGCATCTTTCCTGTTGCAGAAGGCCAAGAAGAGAACTGTATTTCCTGTCAGAGACCAGCTCATCGGCTGCATGCAGGTCAGGGAGGGTGTGAGGATACACCGGACCGGTGACACTGGGAGTCCCAGTTGGAGGGAAGGGCCATAAATCTGCAGGTTGAGCTGGACGACTCCGCAGAGATGATGGCTGGCACTGGCCTACCACACCAGCAGCAGAAAAATTCAGAGCAGAATTTGCCATGCTTGTTGAAGAAGATGATGGATACGGTTTGTAGCAATGCGAAGAGAAATTCCACTGATGGGGAGACATGCTGTCTACTTAAAAAGGAAAAAAAGCATCTGAAGTCTCATCAATTCTTACTTTTTCTTACTTTTTTCCTAAGGCAAATTCCAGTGGACTTCTAAGAGAATGCTACCAGATTGCATATTCATTTTTAGAGAAATACAAAATCACTTTAGTGCTGCTTATCTTAAAAATCAACCACAAACTCATAATAAAAGCAGATTAAACCACCACCACCAATCTTTCTACTAAGTATTTCTACTGTAGTATGTGTATTACACAACCACCAACTTTTGCAGGTTTTTGACAGCTGCAGGCTTAGACAAATATATTTTTATGAAGATGACAACTTAAGTCATAATGCACTTATTGCATCCAGCAGTGACGGGGACACTTGGCTGGAAAATGACGATCTAGTCCTGCCAACAGGCCCATGAAAAGCTTAGAATTCACTCCAGCAATCACAGGGATTTACGCAGGAATTCCCAGCCTAGGGCTTTACAAGTATGATTCTCTTTCTTTCTGTTTGCACACAATTTCAAATTTAAGCCCAAGGGATCTTTAATTCCTTAGTAAAAGCCAGTCATCCCCATCCAACACCAGGCTCACATATGGAAAGGAACTGTTTTTCAGGACAACAGTCTCACCCTTGTGCTTTGTGCTCAGGTCTTGGGGGTTCTTGGCATTGCTGAGAGCTCTAGAAAAATGTTCATCTACCATGCTGTTAATGTCCCCTTGGAAATAGGTGAACACCACGCTCTGAGATCCCCATTCTGTTTTCACAGGCTCTTTGCTTTTACTCAGCTTTGGGGAAAGCTTCCTTGTTTCTTCCATTTTCAATGACCAACAGTCTCTGCAAAAAAAACCAAACCAAAACCCAAAAAACACAAACCAAAAAACCCAGACAGGTCAAAGAGACAATATTCAACTTCAAGTGCCCAGCTTCCTCCCAAAAATGGTAGGGGCCAGAAGAACACTTAGTAGGAATGGATTCTCTGTTTTTCTGCTTTTTCCATGCACCTCTTCTTTATTGATTTCCCTATTAGATACTTTTAAAACGAAATACTTGGGTAGAATGGGCATATCTACCCACCAGCTTTCATTTCTCACCCTGACTTTTTAAGTCTGGGCTTAGGATGTATACTGTGCAAATGTGTCCTCTGGAAGAACTGAAACACTTAAAAAATAATTCAGAAGTGGCACTATCCCTGAATGAAGTTCAGGGTAAAGTTATCAAAATGCTTAGTCCAATTTAGGTTTTTGTGTTCAAAAAACAATGACAGAGTGCAAAAAAACCCCAAAACAAGAGCAACGAAACCCCCAAATCCCACTACACTACATTAGAGCTGAAAATAATAATTTTTAGATAAGGTTAAGTCGGAAATACCTTAATGACTGTCAGCACAGATCTCCAAAACAAACAGACTTCTAAGAGTAATTAGTTGCTTCACCTGTTGGAAAAAGACATTCAGAATAAATAATTGGAAATTCAAATCATGGCAAATTCAAGTAAAAACACACCACAAAACAACATCAAAAGAAATAACCTTTTCTTGTTTGAAACAACTTACCTAGGAACATGGTGGTTCTGCCAGCTGCTTAAAACTTTGGAGCAAGACTACTAAAACACACACTGTGTGTCAACCAGAATTTACAGGTTTAAGGCAGGAACTCCACTAAAATAGTTTGCAGAAAGTTAACAGAAGACTATAAGTCTCCTTTTTGTTCTCTTTAAAAATATCTGCTGCCAGGTATGATAAGAGTAGGACAAGGAATGTCACTGCTTGCCTGGAGAAGCATCATTTTCATGCATTTGTACAGTTTCTGGCCACAAGGGAGCAACTTCCCAGCCAGAGCTCACAAGTCCTGCTCTAATCAAGATCATATTTAGCAAGACTCAGGCTACAAATGCAGTGAAGTGCCTGCTGTTTCTGTTCAATTTTCCAGTCTCATTGTCAGCTCATGACACTGCATAGTATAATTGATTTACCTTGGGAGCAAAAGGAAGGCTGTTATTTTTCAGAGATCAGGGCAACCTTTGGCCAATAGCCAGCTGTATCTCATAAAACCTCATGAATCATTAGATATGTGTTTCCATTCAACTGACTCTGAGACACGCTCCACTGCTTAACCCAGTTCAACACATTCGTCTGATTTCTTTCCTAGTCATGCATCCCCTAATCCTCAGAAGCTTCCCAATAAACAACACACTCATCTGTATCTCAAAGGATACCCCGAAGTGCCTGTGTAGTCTGCCTTCAAATGATTTCTCAGAATTTTCTTGCACATGAAAAAAACTGCTCAGGCTGCAAGACAAGTATTCAGAAAGTATTAGGAAACATGAAGATTAAGGTTGCCAAGCCATAATCTATCCCCATTCTAATGCTTATGCCTTCACCTAAAAACTTCTTGTCCATGTTTATTATTTCCTTCCATATTTAGTTTTGCTTGTTTACCTCCATCTCCCACCACTGTGCTCTGTTCAGTTCTCCCTGACTCATGGTCACTTGCTCAGCCAGCCCTAATCTCCTGTCACCAACTGCTAACTCATGTCCAAACTCAGGAGCTCCTTAGTCCTGATTTTAGAATTTCGATTGCTTCGCCCCATCCTCCCAGGTTCACCTAAACACAGCAGTGGAAGCAGAACTGCAAGGCCACACTCTGATTCAGAAGACAATCTTTCACAACTTTAAAACTGACCCAGCTTTCCCAGACATAGAAAACTTAAAGAAACATTTCCTCCCAATTTATAGGCACCTTTCCAAGGCACATGAGGGGAAGCAGGAACTAGCACAACCTAGCCACACAACTGGAAGGACTTTAAGCACAGGAAGAGACGCTGGTTTTTCCCAGTCTTGTTTTAGAAAGCATCCTGCAATTTGGGTTAAGGAACTTTACAATTGCTCAGCCGGGGGCCAACACTTGCCATTGAAAATTCCAGTCCAAGAAGTGAAATCTTGGCAAAGACATGAGCAACCAGATGACCTGAGAAAGGAGAAGTCATCTTGACAGCAAGAAGCAAAGCAGCTTTTCCTACTCTGAGCCAGCGCTACACATCAACATACAATTTAGAAAGCATTAGTGCTTGCCCAGAGTATCACTTTTCCCATTCTTCACTCAGTACAAGCCATTATGTCTTTGTACCACTTTATTAACACGCTTAACTAGCTCCTGACATTAATTCTGGGCTCCTTCAGCATCGTTTGTTTGTGTGCAGCAGCTTGTGTGATTGTGACCAGTTTAAAATATATTATTTTTGCAGCATTTTAAGAAAAAAAGGTCTTTTATCTCTTTTTTTCTACAGCGTTTCCCTTAAAAATCTCTTGCACTTTCCTACAAGTAGGTAGAGGAAGGCTGGGTAGAACCTAGGTTAAATCACAGTCCTCTCAGTGATCATATGGGCGTAAGGATTCTAGCATCCCAGGAGACAGGACCTGAATTTGCAGCACTATAGTCTTCATTACCTGAACCTCCTATTATTCCATCACCCAGCACAAGGTCTGCAAAAGGCAGAAGTCCTTCCAGCTTGTGTCTGACACAAACCATTGTCAAAATAGAGTAGAAGTGGAGCTCAGGGTGAAATGGACTCAGCTCATATCTCACTACTCTTAGAATGGGTTAATAATGGCAAAATAGCAAAAATATTTGTCCAAATTATTTCGTCTTCAAGTGGACAAGGACACACAGTCAACACAGGCTTAAGAGTGGTGGCTTACCACAAGACCTAATACGTTAAAATATTTTTCACATTTCCCACACTTGCCAGCAGTATTAATTTACCAGCACTGGAGCATCTGACATGGAACTCTTCATTCTTGATTTCATGTAGCTCAAACCAGTTTTAAAAACAAAAAAAAAAATCTCCCACTTCTCAAGCACTAAACCACAATTTAACAAACAGGCATTCCCTCTCATCATGTTATTCCTCAAATAAGAGAACATTTGAGGAAGTCAGTGAATTTTCCTACCTTAACTCACTGTCAGCCAGATTTTCCAGATGTGGGACACTCATGTTGTGTCCAGCAGGTTGGGATCCTTCCTGGGCCCGGCCAGCTCTGTGTGCACTGCAGTGACTGCAACAGAAGACAAGCCACGCTCATGAACTCCCCACACTTTCTAGCCTCCAGCTGCGTGGAACGAGGCGTTTCCTTCAGCCTATCTGCTAAGAATGCATGAAATGCACTCCAACGAGTCAACCAGGTTAGGAGGTTTCAGGAATGAGGAAAATAGGATTGTAAGTAGGTTTAGGTTTGTTTGGGTTTTTTTTTTTTTGTTTTTTTTTTTTTTTTTTTTTTTTTTTTTTTTTTTTTTTTTTTTTTTTATGACAATGTGTATACAATAAAGAAGATACTGTGGACTTTGGAAAAGTTTGGAGTAAGATGAAAAATAAGACATGGCAATGAACCAAACTTGCCCAGGATGATAAAGGACTTTTCCTATGTTACAGAATATTCACTCAAATTGGTAACAACAAACACCTATGAGAAAAAGACCTGTTTCCAATCCAGATAAACTGGACAATCAATTTTCTCACTTTTCTTTGCTGGATCTGTTTTAATAACTACAGGGAAGAAAAAAAAAATCATTCTTGTTCTGCAAGGGCTGTAGCAGGAAAGACTTTTTTTTTTTTTTTTTTTTTTAATCAAGTATACCAAAATCAGCAAATTGCAGCCATTCCAGAAATGGTGAAACAGGGTCAAACTTGCCAGTATCAGCTGGAAAAAACACACTGAGGAACTAGTCACCAAACTGGTGACATTATGTCTTTTACAGAGTGGCTTAGGAGTTTGTTTACTCACCCAGAAAGCTGGAGAGCACAATCCAATTCCCTCTGCCTAAATACGTATGAATCCGCCCTCTGCCCTTCCCAGAACAACTTAACTACCAGGCTGGGAGAGCTCCCGTGACGGTGCTTAGTCTTTTATTGACACACTGTTTGTGTAAACACGTTTTCCTCGTGAGACAGACTGGATTCCAGTCCACCAGCAGGGCAAGTCTTCAACGTCTCCACTGCTCTCTCTCTGACTCCCTTTTCTAAACTGTCCAGCACAGATTTCCTCTGCTAAAGCTTTTCAAGACCTTATCTGAGATCTTCCGCTCTTGCTGACAGTTAAAGCTCTCCTCAGGTTAAGATGGCATCAGTTTAACTACAGGGTAAAATGGGATTTTAATCCCTATTCTTCAGTACAGAAATTGAATGACTGATTTCCAGTGCTTTTGAAGCAAAGTGTCAAAACTTTGAAGAAAAAAAATTTAAAAAACCTTTGAGAATAAAAATTAAAATTCTACTTGTCCTTATTAAAAACATCTTCACAATCTCAATTTTAACTACAGTGTCTGCAGTGATCCCTCCTGCTCCTTTTCTCTCCATGCAGGTCCATTAACACCCCAAGCCAGGAAGAAGGCTGAGACCAAATCCATAAATAGGGAACAAATACCATATTCCCACTTACAGTTCCAGCAACACGTCTGCTGGGTCCAGCTGGAAGCTCTAGCATGTTACCACATGTTTTATAAACTGAAGCCCCAGTGTACCAAATGCTATTGTATCTTTTACTGAGGAAAAAGACAAATACATTACCTTGAAACTAATCAGCAGAGACTTGTTCTATTCATGAGTTTGTTTATTAAAAAGGTAGTATAAAACACAACCCCTTTAAGAAACAAATCGAAGACAAACAAAGGGTATACTCAGATGCTGTCACAAGTCTAGACATTATTCAAATAGCATTTGCTTTGTTAATGTTGCTTTTCTAAAGGATAAATGAAAATTATTAATTTATTGAAAGAAAATCACCTGTCAGAAGAAATTCCAAGTCTACTTACTGAAAAGT